AATTTTATGACGTGAGCAAGCACTGACAGAGGAAAATGGTTTATATTTGTCATTGTGTTTTCTCCAGAAGAGCATTTCAAAGGTTGCATTATTCATTGACCCTACAGGTTCAGCAGAGTGAGTCACACAGCCTTCAGAACACAGACGATCTCCACCTTTTCTGAGCAGACAACACGCTCACACTCCAGGCAGAAGGGGAGGAGCTTGGCTGTGCAACTGTGTAGTGATTGAGTCATTCTACCCGTATTGTAGTGGCAGAAAAGCAGAACTGCCAGTTCTTGGCTGTGTCATGCTACACAGTGTGATAGGAACAGAGATCAGTTTGCAAGATGAGGAAGAGAACACTCAGCACAAATGAAACAAACACAAAACCTTTTATCGATGCAGAATGTCATTTACTGTTGATCTTTGAATGCTCTATGGAGTGACAAATACAATGTCATCGTTACTCTGCTGTCCTGTGCAGATGACATGCCCTCTGGCAGGCTTTGCTAGTGCCCACTGCAAATGGAAAGGACTGCTGTTCAAATTCATATATTCAATTTAATTGAATTTTCAAGGCATAAAAACAGTAAAACTCACAGACTCTGCACCATTCTGCAGCACTGGAATGTCATTGAATTTAATTTGTAGGTTTTACATGGAATAAATTTGACTTTTTCTCAAAATTTTGTATCTAATGACACGAAGATGGGATCATTCAGACAGTGTTATTGTCTAACATTCGTGTCTAAGTGTCCCAACATTATATGTAAGTGCAAGACTCAGAGCATATCTGGCTGTTCACCATTTTTCCAGAACCTTCAGTTTTCTAGCTTTAACTAAACAGAATACCATCATATGCAGTGCCTGCATTGGAGAATCAGTAGCAAGACATGGAACGCTCCAGTGTCTGTGCCAATTGAGGCGTGTCCTTTTAGGTTTCCCATGTTCTGCATCAAATCTGAACACCCATGAAATACAAGCTCTTCAATCCTTCCTTCAAGTCAAGTTCTGACCCGTACACCAGAAAACGGAGCTTCTTTGAGGACATGCAAATTCTGCATGGGTTTCAGGAAATCTGCAACACACCTGCTCTCTTACACATAAGCTGATTTGGCTCTGCGACCACTTTGGTAGCAGCACAACAATATTTGCCCCATTCCATCTCTAAACTTCACACACAGACACACACACACAGTAAAGGTGCGACCGTCCATTCCTGAACAGCTTGTGCGAAAGCAGCTTATCTCTGTCGCGAATAAGATCAAATGTGTAATAAGTCACAGACTTTCTCGTGTCTTTAAAAAGTGGGAAGGTTAACAGTTGTCTTGAATCATCATTGGTTTCAATAAAATGTTATCACAGTGATTAACATTGCTCTGTGAATTTCATAATGGTAAGCTCTACCTTCAATTTCTTCCTGAGTATATATTTGAAATCCTATCAAACAAAGTATAAAAGTCTCTCTTCAAGGGTCTCAAATCTAGTCAACTATTCTATACAATGCTAACACAATGCCATTTTCTGTGGCAATTAAATCTGGTACACAGTGAACGAATCCATGTATCACAATGAAGTACTCACTATTTTCACCTGACAACTACAGGGTGTATGAAGACACGCACCAGGCCCAACTCCCACAGGGTTAGACGGGTCCTCTCCGCTCACTCAAAAAAGGATTGTTTATTTTTCTCCCAATTAAAACTGGCAATGACAGTCATCCGGTGAGTGTTTTTACTGTTCTATTACAAACTACTCACATAGTACTTGTCAGTTAATGAGGAATGCTTTAAAGTTTGATTCTGGGCTTTCTCACATCTTATTGCCAAGAAATATTTCTGGTAATAAAAGTACTCATTGTTACCTTGACTAATTATCATTTTTAGACTGGTAAAATAAATCATTTCACACATTGTACACATTTTTTGCCTAAAGCTTGTTTATGCAGCAGATCTACTGCACACATCGAGCACCATATTACCAAATCGCTCCTAAAACATAACTCATTAATCCAAACGAGAAGTAAAAAGTCAGAAACCTTCTACAAACAGGGGATGAGTTTGGATAACAATGTCTGTGTGTGCTGCTTATAAGATTCACAGATATTCCTAAAGACTATTATGGAAGATATTTCTCCCATGAAGGACACAAAATAATAAATTGATTACAGAAAACAAATTTCAAGCTGAAAAGAAACAGTTTATGTATAATGTGTATGATTTGGGTTAAGATTCTGTCCAGGTCATTGTACTCCGGTCCAAATCAGCTTTGAAAAGATGATGTATTAATACAATATGTAGAATTTACAAACCCTTAATGGCACATGACCTTGAAAACTAGACTGATTAACAGGCAGACTTTATTCATTTGGATTTGGATTAAACTATGAAAATAATAAATTAACTCTGATACATCCCATCAGTTTAATTAACTGCAGTTTAGCATGTGTCACTGAAGTAGCTCTCAGTGAAGCCAGGTGAAAAAAACAAAAGCCAGGTGGAAAAGTGGGCCTGCCTACACCTTTTTCTGCCAGTGCTGTGGTTTAAACTTCTGTTTACATAAGTTGACAACCAGACAATGAAGCCTTTCAGGGCGCCACCTCTCACTGCACAAATCTTCAAATGCGTTGTATGACTGAACACAGGCCAAGAGTTTTGCAAGTTTACTTGAGTTCAGACAAAAATAAAATTGCTGACACTGCATGTCTGCCACTTTAACACTGGTTTTAGTACAATAGAAAATAAACAAGTAAACATTCCCAACTTCTCCGAAAGTTTCAATAACCTTCTATCATTGTGATAAGAACTGAAGTGCCTACTGTGTATCTACAGTATCACCTCCCCACTGACCACAGACCATTCCACTGTGTCTGTTGAGTAATATGTGGGCAGCTTTGTATACACTATGAAGTGTGCTTGTATGCACTGTATGCAACAGACAATTGAGAGTGTTCAAACCGTGCATGTGGCAAGGCCAACAGAAGGCATAATAAACATTTCCCCATTGTCTCTCTGTCATTTTAGATAAAAGACTGACTATCAAGACTGATTGTCAAATTGAACTTGAAACATTACATGATATTTGCTTATCTTCCTTATTGTTTGCAACTCAAATGTTAGTGTATTATATAATTTATTTCATCTATCAAGTTTAGGAAAGTATTGAAGCTACAGGTTTAGCATATAAAGAAACAGACAGCTCTCAACCCTGACCTCAGATTACTATGACAAGGATAAAGCTTACTTCATAACTAATTGAACAATCCAATAAAGAGCTTCATTTAAAAAAAAAAGCTTTTAAAAAAGGTGAACAAATAGGGAGTAAGTTGAATTGAAGTCTGGTAACCATCCATCCATCCATCCATCTATTTTCCACCGCTTATCCGGGGTCGGGTCCCGGGGGCAAAATTGAAACCCAGACTTCACTCCCCCCTGCCAATTCTGCCAGCTCCTCTGGGGGGATCCCAAGGCATTCCCAGGCCAGCCGAGACACATAGTCCCTCCAGCGTCTTCCTCTGGGCCTCCTCCTGGGGGGACGTGCCTCCAACACCTCACCAGGGAGGCGACCGGGAGGCATCCTATTCAGATGCCCGAGCCACCTCAACTGGCCCCTCTCAACGCGGAGGAGCAGCGGTTCTACTCCGAGCCCCTCCCGGATGGCCCAGCTTCTTACCCTGGGAACCTGTGCTTGAAATTTTGCCTAACATACTTAACTTCTGGGACTGGACAAAATCAGATTTAAGGCATTGAATAACATCAGTAAATGAATCAGGTCTGAAGCACTGGCTGTCTACCTTGTGATTCAAATAACTCTGAGTCTACAACACACAACCCTAATCAGCTGCATCAAAACAATCATTAGCCAAACTCCTGCCACCTCATTCTCCGCACACCACTCAGGCTGAGGTTCCAGACAGCAGCTCTGGCTCCTCATCCTCGCCTCTGACACCACATCATCTCCTTCACAGAGCTCCACAACACAAACAAAATCTCATGCAAAGCCCTTGCAGCAGGCTGAGTCAGTATGCTGCACAACATACTACCATCACTAAATATCCACCACATCTGTATTTTCTGTTGCCAACAATGTGCTGTGCTTTATTCTCATCAATAAAACTGGACGTGGGCTATAAATCTAGTCCTGCCTGCTGCACCCTCTCCTGGCTTTTATCGTTGAATAAAATCTTAGGTACATGGTTGGGATGTCAGTAAATTGTACTGCCCGTTCTCCATGTAGAAAAGAATCCGAGGTAAATAGGGTTTATTATGGGTTTGTCTGGCTTTACTGTATTATTCTGCTTGTTAGCTGACTTGTCTGAAAATTTCCAGCCATGATATTAATGCTTTTGGAATCAACTTGTAACCTAGTTTTTTTTTTAATGGTTATTAAACTGCTTGCCGTACTGTTTAGAATCATGAACCTGGAAGGCTCTATGAACTTTAGACAGGAATTTAACCACACTAAATCAACCAGGAGTAAAAATTAATTAAATTTAGCAGCTTTTCTAACCACTTTTTTTAATTGTTTATCATCACAAATACTCCAATCAGTGTGGAACATTGTTTTACTCATAAATAGCTTGTTTTCACATAGTCAGGTTGTCTAGATTAAACAGTTCCACTTTAAGCATCAGATTTTTGACAAGAACACACAGATCTCTTCTGTGTTTAATCCAAGTCTTTAAAGGGGCAAAGGTTATAAACCCGAACCGTTAGCTGTAATATGAGCACTGCTCTCTCATACGTTGGGAGGTTACAAACACGCCACTGGATAGGCTGTCCCTGAATGGTGTTAGAAAGAAGCCATCTGCTCCTGTTTATGGTCCATTAACCCTGCTACCCCTGGATAGCCAGGCTGCCCCCCCCACCCCACCCCCCTAAGCAACAGGTTCAAGGGTCTGAGATTATATTTACGAGCCAATAAACTCAAATAAAAGATCCCAATCCAAGTCTTGTCTCTGTTTCACCATGTCCCCTAATTTTTGCAATTACAACACAACATCTGGAAAGTCCTTACCTTCCCAAAAGTCCATAGGTATATTGAGAATCCGCCAGCAGTAATGTGATCTCACCCTTGTGCATGGTCATGACACACTCCTCCAGGGCCTGCAGGTGTCAAGAAACACATTACTCACATTACTTATACGACACTTCTAGGAAATTTTTCAAGTGCAAATATTCCCATAATTAAACAGTCACATGTCTAACCCTTCCTTGATGCCATCAGAAGGTTGACAACAATATTTATGGGAAGAAAGAAAGACAACAAGTACAAAGCTGAATACAACAAATATACTTGCTAAGCCTGCTGATGTTAGCATATAGCCAATGTGGGTGTTGGTGGGTGTAAAATTTTACCACTCTGTTTCTATTTGTGACCACAACTAATAAGTGTGATATTGAAGGAGCGCCCATGAATGCAGAAAACGGCCGGTAGCAAAGATTTCACCTGGTTTACATCACCATCTCCAATCACAAACACGAGTTTGCAGTCCTTCTCCACCACAGTGCGATCTTCCAGGACACCCTGCATCTTCACAGTCACCTCCTGGCCCCAGGTGCTGAGCGAGCCCTCTGAGTCCCCCGATTTCAGCACTTTCTTCCTTAACAGCCGGTCCTCTGGGTGAAGAAAGGGGAAATATAGAGTGGGACGGAGCCATTCGTAAGAAAAAACTGTTTCTTGCTACTAGTTATATTTTTCTTCGTATATAAAAAACTGTGGTGCCATAGTCGAGGTTTGGGAAATCATGCATAGATTTCATTCATAGGTTTTTCTCAATCTCTTCTCTCTTGAGTGAAGAGTGACTAAACTGCATTCTCCACCCTTCTGCCACCGTGTAAGAAAGAAACATCTTATTACAGTGTGTTGCTTTGTTTTAAGAAAACACCATGCCTCTCTTTCCCATTCCCAGCATGTCAAAGTTTGCCACCTCATCTAATACATGCTGCTTAAAGAGGTCAGAGGGGTATAGACATGTAGTTCCTCAGCACGCCTTGTTTTTGAGTCCAAACACGTTGCTTAAGTATGTCACTTCCTGTCCCTTAAATTGTAATCGGATCTTTGGCACCTTCTTTGTGATTAATAATACATGCTGTGCTTAATTGAGGTTAGGTATTACAAATGTTTAAGGTTTGGAGAAAGATCATTAAGCAAAAGTATGGATTCCAATACAGACGATTTAATATGTAATATGTTGAATGTTTGTTGCACATCATATCATGTGATGAGCTGGATTTAATGCAGTGAGGCAGCATAGCTCTTTTGCCATGAGTTTAGGGTTTTCTAGTTAAAAGTGGAACAATCGGCTACCCTTGGGAAGACATATGCTAAGAAAGAGCCACAAGCTCTCTAAAACTGAATTCAGCCAAACTTTAGACCCTTTCCTTCGTTTGTTGTCATAGTTTTGATTTGTACTTTGAAGATGAATCTTAAGTTACTGATAAGTAGCTTCTAGTGTGAAATCAGTGTCACTGCCTTCGTATGAGAAGTGTTGAATCCTCACCTGAGATGCTCTCCCAGTCTTCTGCTAAGAAGAGCTCCTCAAAAGGTGTGGAGGTCCACTCCTCTACAGCATGTTCTGGAAACAGGATGTCCGACGTGCTATCCCTCTCCAACGCGTGTTCTTCTGTTGACGGGTCTTGGAATCGTACCATCTTCCAGCTGTTTGATTTCTTCAGCTTTTTCTCCTTCCTGCATTTGGTATTTCCACCGTCTTGCTCGGGATCAGCCGGTGTCTCTGTCACAGGGCCTTTCCCCTCCCCTGCATCGCTCTCAGTGACAGCCTCCTCTGTAGGCCAGCGTGGCAGCTCATTCACAGAGTCCTTTTCAACAAACTCAGAAATCTCCTCTCTTGCCTCAGGATGTGCGGGCCCCACTGTATGGTCCGTCTGTTCTTCACATGCATCCGTCTCCATTTCACTATTAAATGCGATGGACACCATTTGCATTAGTCTCAAAAAGAGATGATCCTCTTTGCTCAGTCAGTGATTCACTGAGGTGCACGTTAGTAGCTCTGCCCAGCACCTACAGCCTATCTTAAGAGAAAAATACCTCCAGCATGTAGCATTTTCAAAAATACAAGTTTTGCTTCAGTAAACGCAACTCTGAATGCATCACTAAGCCTTGACTCTCACAGACTCTCTACAGCTTTGTCGTAAATGTAGCTGTAGTTCTGTCCCTCTTTGTCTCCTCTCAACTTGTTGAATCCATCTCAATCTTCATCGTCCATTGATGTGGTGGCAACAAAAAATGATCAATGTAAAAAACCTGTGCGGCACAACGAAGCACCCACAGCCAGCAAGCTAGTGCAGCTGTAAGCTAAAGGATTAGAAGAGAAAAAAAACTAATCTGCCAGAACGTCTGTAAGCTTCTTAATGACTTCACTGTCGTGCCCCATAACACCGTTCCTGTCTGCGCAATATTGTGATATTTACTACAAAGATCTAAGGGTATAACAAACGTTGTTCATTTTGTGCCACACCCAAAGAACTTAATTTGACACTTTATAGAATTGCCATAAAATGCAAAGTATTTCAACACTAAGCAGACTGTTCAGGAAAAGGTGAGATTATTCTTCACCGGTGAAGAGTTAACCCGACTTTAGGATTAGTCATTTTTAAACTATGTGAAAGTTCTATGATCATCCAATATTGCTGTTTCTTTTGCTCGGATCTTTAAGAAAATGTAAACATCCATCTATCAAAATATTAAAACATATAATCCACTTCTGAACAAATATTCAATCAAGAAATTGCTCAAAATAGCTAAAGCCACTTTTGGTGAGGTTTGAGTTCAGTGGGGTCAACAATCATTTCCAGATGGAGAGATTTTCTTTCTTTCCTAAATGGGATTTGTGTTCTGATACAACAGGCAATATAAATCAGTTTAAAGGCCAAAGTCCTCTGGCAGTGCACATTTGTTTACTGAGGCTGATATAGTGTTGATAAGCTGTCGTTAAGTCCAGAGACTCAATACGGATAATACAAAAATATGAAAATTTGAACGAACCCCCTACAATGGAGGTTTCTTTCCACTTGTATATAAAAATGAAAAGCAGTTCCAATCGCTGAAGGGAACGTTTTTCCCATTTTAAGGTGAATCAACATTTCAGCTTTGCTGGACTTTTAATTTTGTGTGTGCCAGATGTTGTCGCTGGTCACAGGTGTGGAATGCAGGCTGGTCAGTACCCCGACTATTTCCCCACAGATCAAATCCAGGATGTTATTTCACTTTGACTTGCTTAAAGCAAGCAAAGCATTCACTAAAAACCATTTGGAGATGGCTGCTGATCCATAATCGTTAATATCATGCATCATTAATGATACCTTCAAGGATGTCCAGGTTGTGAATTACACAAAGAGCACTAATGCACCTCCACAGTCACTGACTTATGAGTAAAGGCGCTTTCGTTTGAGCCCAAAGGTCCAGATTTCCATTGTTGTCAAAAAAGATATTCTGGGTTTTTTTCCACCACACCAAAGGGCCCACTCTGCAGCAGCCCAGACCAGTGAACACAGCAACGTCCACCTCAAAGTGACACGGCCGGAAAATCACTGCCATTTGATATCGGTTTCCATTGTTCCATAGTTACAGTGCACCAAGTTCTCTGGAATCTTTTAATTTGAAATATAAAGCAGAATAGCAAGGGTTTTTTAATCATGATACTGCTATCAAATACAAAGTATACACACATATCTTTTTTTAAAGCCATTTCCAAACTTCAACATTGAATAATGTGCCCTGTATTAGTTTCAGTTTAACACATAGTCTAAATCATTTACAAACCTCTGGATTAATATTGACATTTGACACAACATCCCATTTGTTCTGTCGTTGTTGTGTAGACTGCTGCAGCAGTAATGACAACAACATTCTCCACATTGTAAACAAATCCCACTTTACTGGCTGTTCTCAAATCCACACAGTGAGTTGTCCATCGGGATTAAACTAATCCAAATTCAATTTCCATCATTCAATTTCTCTGATGTAAAAGCAAGATATAAATATTCAGGGTAAATGTATTTCTTTGTTTATTCCCTCTGTGGTGTTTTGACGGTTCATGTTTGTTGATTATCTTATTTTACAAATCCTCCTTGTTTTTCGTATTTGACAGCATGTATTTCGATGTATTTGAATTTTACACGATTATGTACTGTTTATCTGTTTACTAAATGTGATGTTTGAACTTAAACCTAACTAACTGACCTGATAAAATGAGTTTAGTCTCCTTGAAGAGGTGTGTGAACCTGAAAGTAATACCATCTGCTCATGGCCAGAAAAAATTTCAATACCTGTTCAGAGGAATATCAATGGTTTTAGCCATTTGATATGGGTAAAGCCAGATGACACATTTGTAGGAATGCCTAAGGGTGGTTTAGGTCTGAATTTTGGACTGCTGAAGAGTCTTTATTGACAAAATAAGCAGTCAAATAAAAGAAAAATAATGAACAAATACAACAGTAAATACATCAGTAAAATAATGTATTTGCCTATCTCACTGTAAGACATAAGACACTAAGTAAGATTATGTAATTTACTCTAGACAAAGGTATTTCTGTATTGATGGAAATTAAAGTATAAAGTAAGTTTACTGTAAATCAAAATACAAAATAAATGTAGTTGCTAAAATGTCATGGATTTTTTTTTATCTATCTCCAAGTCCTGTATATGTATTTGTTTAAGGGTGTGTGTGTGTGTGTTTGTACGTATGTGTCTGTTTGTGTGTGTTTAGGGAGATCATGAAGTGTGTTTGCTTGAATCCAGTTGGAGTCACTTGGACCCAACACAGAGCCAGACACACACATCACACACCAGATAAAAACAGACTTTAAACTGCGCGGGCTGCTGAGTGTGTGTGTGTGTGTGTCCGGGAAAGCGAAAGCAAGGAAGTTCGTACCTCTTTATTTACCTCTTTTTTTTTTCTTCCGTAAATCCACGGGAGCGTGTTTGTGCGTGCCGTACGTGGGGGCCTGTGTTTGCGCGTAGGCCCCGCCCACACGTCGTCTCCTCCGTGACGTTTCAGGCAGAATGTCGCCAATAAGCTTCAGTTGTAGCAATGGCAGCGCTGAGCCAGGAGCATCGGTATGGGCTCTCCTGTGGCAAAATCAACAAAAACAACCCCAATCAAACTCTGTATCACGTCAAACTCACTGACACCGCCATCCGGACCCTGGAGACCTACCAGAACCTGAAGGTGAGCTGAGGGGGGGGGGAAGCAGCCGCTCCAACTTTGGAGCGTTTGCGTCCTTTTTTTTTGGTGGAGATTTTTCTTTTTTTTTTTTTCTTTATCGTCTCCCAACTCCGGGAAACAGCAGAGAAAACAGGCAGCTGGTTCCCGGCGTGGGGAGGGGGTAAACAGAAGTTTAAAGGCTGGTGGTCAGCCTGCGGACCGGTTGAATGTCAGCAGCGGAGCGGTGGACAGAACCGGGCTGCTTTGTTTTATTTAGCCGGGGCCAGGGCTCTGAGATCCGGGGCCAGGGCTCTGAGATCCTGGGCTGCTGGGTTATTGTCATCAGACTGGAGATTGTCGAGGCTCTGGTCCGGGAATTGTACCAGCTGAGATTTGCTTTGAGCAGAATAGAGCGCTCCTATCTTCTTTTCTCTTTTAGTAAAGGGACTGTATCCTGTGTTTTCAATGCTTGCTGTTCTCGCTTCATTTTGGAATCAAAGAAAAAAAACCCATCTGAAATGTATTCAGATTAAGAAGCGAACGCAGTGTTCTGTCATTCAGTGTTTTAGTTTTTGGGGGTTTGTTTGTTTGTTTTATAATTAAAATGAAGTTTTGCCTGCTTGTTGCGCTCGGGGGGTGGGGTGGGGGGGGGCAGATAAGGGACGAGCTATCAAACAAACGATTCCTCTCTCTTTGAATCGGGAAACTGTTTTAATGCCTATATGGCCTCATTAGATTAGACCCAGATAGTTTAGTCCTTCAAAAATTCTCTTTCTGGAAGCAATGCTTGGTGGTGTGACAGTTAGTGCAGCAGTTGGGTTTGCTGGTGGAGATTCTTTCTCTCCGGCTGTCAGAGCAAGTGTCCGGCTGCGTGTCCGTCCGGGTCCGGAGCCCTTTCTAAACCTGGAGCCGGACCGGGACTTGGTGGTCCACCTGTGTGGTGAAGTGTATTTTCAGTGACAAGGCACGGTGAGTCGTTCCAAGGCTCTAGTGTGTGTGTGTGTGTGTCTGTCTGTTTACGTGTGTGTGTGTATGTGTGTGTGTGTGTGTGTGTGTGTGTGTGTGTGTGTGTGTTGCTTTCTTGCCCTTTCCACGGCTGGAAACCCGCCCATCTCCGGAGCTCATTGGTCTGTGGATTGGAGTGAACTCCGGAGCTCACGCAGCCTGACAGCTTCCTCCAGGACCCAGCAGGCAGGCAGAGGAGAGGAGAGGTTACTGGGAAAGTTTTCCGAGTCACAGACCACCCCAGAAAATACCGGTTCAGACCGCTGGACTCCCACGGCGGCGTGGAGTTTTTTTTTTTTTTGCCCACAGTGGGGGTCCGTGTCACAAGTGGCACTGCTCCCAAACACTGGCTTCTTTTAATGGGAAAACTTTTTTTTTTTTTGCCAGTTCAGTGTAAGATTTCGTGCAAAGTTATTTAACAGCAAGCAATGAAACAAAAAGAAAATAAGCAGACCGGCTGAAACCTCCCCCACCCAGCCCTGTTAAAGGGAAAGCTTTACATTGGTTCCTTGACAAAAATAAGCCAATCATTTGTGTGGATTCCTTCCATCTTCAGTAGGTAAAAATGTTTAAAAGCCTGAGGCAACCACTTCAGACCTCTGTTCTGAATACGAGCAACAGTTTTATTGGGAAGGTAAAACCTGTTTTGTTGTCTTTAAGGCTTTTTAGTGCAGCTATATTATAGTATAGAAGTGTATCTGGAAGAGGATTTTATATCATTTCTGTGTTAATCCAGTGATATCTATTCCTCTATGCTTTCTTTAATGC